TCTGTCTATTTTGTGACTTGTTTTTATGTGAGAGTTGGGCTCTGGTCCTGCATTGTCCCAAGCTTTTTGTGTTGGGACTCAGGGTCTTGTTGCTGGCTTTCACCAAGGTTCAGAGCCTAGTTATTTCCTTGCACTAAAGGGTTGGCTTCCCTTCTGGCTTGTACTGGGGATGGGGCCACCCTGTTGGTCTCCCCTGGGTGTAGTGCCCTGTTGCTGTGTTGCTATGGAAACAGAGTCTCTCTGGTGGAGGGTAGGTCTGGTCTTGCTGCTGGCAGATTGTAGGGTTGGGCTCTTGCTGTTGGCCAGTCCTGGGGAGGGGTCTCACTACTGGTCAGCAATGGGTTTGAGGCCTAGCTGGTAGTCTGTGCTTGGGGTAGTGCTGTTGGGGTGGGGCCTTGCTTTGCTGAACAGAGTGCCGACTTACTCAGGGGGCTGCTGGCTTGCAGGAGGGTGGGGCCTGTTTGGTGGATTGCCCCAAACTTGGATTCTTGCTGCAGGCTTCTGGCTCCAAGGGCAGAGAATGCTGCTACACTGGGACCTTGATCCCTTCCTACCCCAGTGAGACAGACCTTTGTTGCTATGCTAATAAGCTGATTCCCTGCTCTTACATCAATTCTGAGGCAGTTTTTAAGTTGTTTGGAGAGGAATTTGGGAGGGCTTCAAGGAGCTTCTTCTTCGCTCCACCATCTTTGCACCAGAAACCCTTGATGTATCTTCTATGCAAAGTTTATAGGATATAGATAAGAATCATAGAGTGTAAAAAGCCATAAATGTGAGGTAATTTGCGCTGGGGGAGTACCTACATTGATAAGATCATGGTTTTATCCATATATTAATGGATAGGCCTGCACAAAAGTCTTAGTTGATCATGATGTGGAAGTAAACTTGGGTTATGTCCATGCCACTGGAGCTCAAATCCTAGCAGGTTTAACTAAACTGGGAAAATTTAAGTATGCGCTGTTTTTGCTGTCTGAACACTAGCTTAATATTCCTAATAGATCACTGAGAAGCTCATCACTAGAAGTTTAGAAGCTAAGCGATAAATTCTTTGGGTAGGTAAATCCATGAAACAATTGATATCATGTATATACTGAAATTATGAAGGATTATGTAGACACAAATTCTTTTCTACTGCTATTTCCTATCTACTCTTATTTCTACCCCACAATGGACCCACTCCACTAAAACAGTCCATTACCTTTTTCTACTCTATCTTTTGGAACCCTACTTCTTTTTTAAATACTTCTTTACATCTAACTTTTAAAAAAGAATCCTCCTGCCTCCTCCCATTAACTGAAGCTGGACTTTCTTCTGAGCTTGAAAGCTTAAAGACATAACAATTCTGAACAATTTAATAAGCAAAAAATAAATTCCTTCTATACTCAGAGTACTTGATTAGGTGCTGAGGGCTTCCTTCTCCCATAGAGCTCAGAGTCTGACAAGAACATATAACATATACACAATAGTTATAATATAAAATAATATTGATACATACAATATGTCTACTCACAGCTAAATCTGACCAAATTTCATTCAGAAGAAATCTGTACTAGAGGAGACACACTTTTTAAGAGTAGCTAGAAATCACATTTTAAGATACTTCAAATAGAAAGCAATTTCAAAAGATGAAAAAGATCATGCTGATGCTTATGACTTGTAAATTGTGGAAAATCAAAATTTCACATGATTCACATTTGTAGGTCACTTAAAGGTCAATGGAAAGAATCATTCAGCAAGAATAAATTATTCATCCAGGCCTTCTCATTTTGTGTAGATAGCTATGTCTTTCCATAAGCTCTCCATTGAGTATGTACCCAAGACACTGGAGGCCTTCCTGTAGCATAAATATACTACAATATGCATTTGTGATAACAGGAAGTGTTATCCTTCCTGACTCTGGGGAATGTAAATGAATTGATATTGCTTACTATAGAATATATATGTGTATATACACATTTATATAAATACCTAAAATTTTTTCTTCTCTCTTCTTCATGTTTAAGAGGTTACTACCCTTCCTCATGAAATCTAAATTAGAGTTGCATATCTAGAATTCAAGTAGAAAAAGTTATAAGCAACTTTTAAAAACGACTTTTGATCCTCACCCTTATAGAACAGCCCAAGGCCAACCTTTGGGCTCTTGCTAAATAATTTGAGAGGCAGAAATCCCAAGGAAGATTCATTCCTATATCACTTGTCTATAAGTGTCAGTATCTGTAAGTCCTATAAGTAATAATTTTTGTTTTCCTTTCATTCCTAAAACTAATCTTCCCTTATTTTCCCTATAATAACTTCATAGATATGTCCATCTGGACCCCAAAGGCATCAAAACACTTAGTATTATAGATAGAATCTTCCACATCACCCTTGTTAGCTAACCTCAAGCAAATCAGGAAAACATTCCACTCTCACACTCTCATTCCTTTCAATGAATTAATTGCACTCAGAAATTCCAAAGCATAGATCTGGAAATAGAGTCAACAGAAAAGATTTTGCTCTCTATTAATCACCACTGGAACCCTTAAAAATGGGGGCATGTTTCTAACATATACCAGAGAAGAGAAATATATACAGAAAAGGAAACCTAGGAAAATATTTTTGAACCTGCCATTCTAATTGCAACCCAGAAAACTACAATGCCATCACCCAACCTAGATGAAGATTTGGAGGCACACAGCATCTGATGCCAGGATCTAGCGAGTTGTAAAGAATATCCTTTAATAAACCTATTTTCGACACATAAGTCTTGTACATGGGCTTTATTCTCCCCTCTTTAGTGCAGATGGTGGTTAACCACATATTTCCTCATTTGGAATAGCATTTGCTGCCAAATGAAGGAACTGAAACGTATAGGAGAAATTAATCAGATCTTCTTTCTTATTTTTAAATTCCTCAAACTCAGAGAGCCCTCAGTAGTGAATGGCCCTAATTTAGTAGGTGTTCCATTTCAATACCAAATTACATATATAACATTGTTTGCCTGAGGAAAATAAATCACCTATTGTCACATTAGTAGGAAGTGTCGGAGGTTGGATTGAGAAATCCCTTACACCAAGTCAATCTATCAACAGGCAAGCATTTATTAAGTAATTACTATATGCCAGGTACAGTTCTAGGTACTAGGAACACAAATATAAAAGTAAGAGAGTCCCTGCACTGGAATACTGCTAGATAGGAAAAAGAAAACACCTTAATATCATTTGAAAATATTCTCACAGTTGCTCATTGACCAGTCAAAGGGCTTTTCTTATTCATGTGGTGAGGGAAACAGAAACAGTTTGGTGCTAGCCCCAAATCAGAGAGCAAGGCCTTCAATTTACAAGTTATATATCTTTCTGGAAGCAGGTTTCCTAGTTTTTTCAGTTTGGGTTGCTGGTAGAAGGCACATCTTGATGCACAGCTCTCAGGATGGAGTTCCCATTGGTCCTGCCCCCATTACATATGTACCCTTAAAATTTTGGTTATAGCATCTCCATAAATTACCAACTGCTAAGTTTTGAATACCTTTTCTGAGTATGATACCTCTCCATTTAGGAAAAGTTGTTTATGTAGTGGATCTAAGTAGAAAGAAGGCTTAGGAGTCTTGTCCTGAATTTGAGAATGGAGACATCCCTATGACCAACAAACACAAAAGCTCTACATTTCTTACACAAATGACCAGATAGGTAGATGACACCAGAAAACTACTGATAGTGAAGTTTCCTGAAAATGTTGCCAAAATGAAAATGTAAAGTGTCATATTGCCTGGCAATCAACTTAAGCATGCCTTTTAATGGACAAACCACCTGAACTATTTTAATTTTGTTTGGCCATGTGAAATCATCAGTATAGGAAACCACTAGTGAAGAATTTTCTCTACCAATGTCATCTGGACCCTTATCTAACTTAAAATTAATTATATGAAATAAAAAGAAACTGAGATATAAAGTTTCCAAACAAACAAATAGTCTTATAGACTTGCCTAGAGTCTTACAGTCAATAAGTAACAGAGGCACGACTTGAACCAAGGTCCTCCAGACTCCAAGGCTGGCATTTACTACACCAGGCTAGTCTGCCTCTAGAGGTGTTTGAATATTGCACTCGAAAACATTTTCTCTAAGATAAGAGAAAAAGAAATAATGTGTTTTTTTTCTTGTCCCCCAAGGGCAAGTTCTTTAAAGTCTTCTGTGTTTTTAAAGCAAGAATAAGCAAGAAAACATGTTGTTTGAATTGCCTTCAAAAATTTTTTTCACAGCTGAAATAAATTACTTTTGCATGCTTTGTAGCTTTTTCAGAGAACATAGTTTTCTTCCTTCAGTGGGTATAATTATACAATTCACTTTTAATGATAAGACTAAATAAAATCAGAACAAAGGATCAGATTCTCAGGGGTATTCACTTTGAATTTACTGTTACTGTGTAATTACTTTCAATATTTTGATTACTGGACCCTAGGAAGGAAAAAGCAATAGACTGAAGGAGGTAAATCCATGAATTTTTCATGGGTCAATGATTTTTCTCATTTCATTTTCTAAGTTTTTGAAATGATTTGTCATAGTTTCTTCCATAGTTCGGCCCCATTGTCTACCTTAGCTTTAGTAAATTTAAAATAATTGCATTTGGATTTTATTTTCATTCAGTTACCTGTCTTAAATTCTCTAAACAAAAGGTTCAAAACAACAGCTCCAATTCCTTTGCACTATTCCTGTTTTCTACTGGAAGCCCCAAGAAGATAGAAAGAAGTAACCCTTTCCCCTAATTAATTCTTTGTTTTCTTTGGGTAAGCCCGGGTTTAGAGGAGTGAGCCATCTCCATCTCATAAATATATGCCCAAGGGCAGTAGTTTTGCTTTAAAATACAAAGCATTCGGTGCTAAACGGCAGAGCACCGGTGTGGGGGAAAAACTGCTAAAACTTTTGGTAACCTCCAGCTCACCAGTATGTGTCTCCCCCCACGCCACCCCCCGCACAACTTTCCCGCTAGTACAAATGACCGGATTAGAAAGAGTCCTTTCCAAATACCTTATCTCTTGCTCCCCATAGCACTTCTTCTAAGGTTGTGGCGTCTTTCATGCCTTAGGCCGGGTGTACGGCAGAGGGCGCGGCATCCAGGATTTTCTTTCTCACTTTCTCTATAGCGGTGTGAGAGTGAGCCCTCAATCCATCCCTCCCCTTCTTCTCCCGTGAGATTTTTCACCTCCCTGGTGTCTCTTCTGCAGTCCTCAATTCAGGACGGGGCTGTGGCAAGGTCGCTGGAGTTGGAAGAATAGCATCTGGGAGCTGGAGGTCTTGGGGGGAAAGTTTGGGGAAGATGCATTAGAGAGAAAAGGAAGAAAAGTTTCCTTGAAAACAACTAAATTTGAAAGAACAAGCAGGAAAAAAAAAGCGATTGGTGGCTCCCAACAAGAGCCAACCATCATCGCATGACCGACCCAGTGGAGCAGAAGCAGCAGCAGGAAAAAATTACAGCCTCGGTCTTTATTGCCAAACAACTTCATCTGCATCATGAATAGCAACAAAACAGCCTTGGAACAGACTGCTGTAACAACTTCAGCAGCCGAAGTTACTAAAAGCAGGGGCAAGTTGGAGAGACAAGGCACTCCTTTGTGTGACTGGAGTGAGGGTGGAGACGCCCCAGCAGCTGCCGGTGCCCCAGGTTCTGCAGGGCAGGGCAGGATCCCCGCCAAGAGTGCGCTGGTAGCCCCAGGCAGGCAGCCGAAGCGGGGAGACGCAGCACAGCATGGCCCGCGCTGGAGAGGCCCAGGGCTTTGAGAAACTGTTGCCTCAGTTGGCGGCTTTCTGCGCCATGGCATTTTTGGTGGCTGTTCCACCACTTCTTCAGATGCCTGGGGCCGCAGGTAAGAAGGACTCTCGCGTCTCCTCTGGGTCGGTTCCTCAATGTATCTGGCACGTTTCTTTCTCTCTCTTTGTATAACAGTGCTGAGAGCCTGAAGCCCGACGACGTTATTGCATGGCTCATTGCTAGTGATGTTTGAGATCCTTTTGAATGTTACAGTGCTCGTTCGGTTTTCTGTAGAAAGTCTGTTTAGTGTTTTAAATTGTTTTACCCCCGCGGGGGAACGAGAGTTGATGGGGGGGAGGGGGCGTAGCGGTCTGCCTGAAGGGCGAAAAAGGAGGGAGCCTTTTCCCAACTTCCTATAAGAAACATGGCCGGCACTCTGTCAAAATGTGTGCAAGAGCCAGGGTAAGAGTGAGTCTCGACTTTTTCAGTGCACCCCCAAGCCCTGCTCTGGCAAGTCTCTTAGGCTATTTCTACTTACAGACAAGGGTTTGGGTACAGCTTCTCACTCTCCCGCCCCTGAACTCCTCTCTCCCTCTTTAGCTCGGTTATTATTCTAAGAAGAGATTCTTTGGGTTGTTTTGCTAGTCGGCGAGATGGGAGTGAGGGGGGAGGAGTTTGTGCTCAAGGCGCTGATTAGGGTTTAATTAAGTCTTGATTTCGGATGGTCTTCCTGGGTGGTGGATTTGGTGCCATGGAGATCTGAAGTTGGAATAAGGAGACTTGAATTCGAATCTTTGGGCGAGTCTCTTGACTTCTTTCTCTTTCCTTATGTGAACAATGGTGGTGTTGCTCAAGTACCTTCCAGCTCTGAATCCTATATCTACTTGATCCCTCCTGAATGGAAGTTAGGTCAGGGAAATAACTTTGGAATCAAGAACTTATAAGACCTGGTTCTGTAAATGTCCAGGTTAGTTTTTAGAACTAAATAAACCGGACTAATGGAAGTAAAAATCCATTAACTCCTTTTTGCTCTTGGGGCGCTCACGTCCTGCTCATGCCCAGGTTAGCTGAGTACGTGATGGGGGTAATAGTGGACCAATTCTCCCCAGAAGAGAAGCAAAAGCGATCGGCTGTGGTTTGTGGTAAAAGAGTTTCTAAATTTTCAAGTTTTATTACCTCGGTGATGATGTAAGTTGAAACATCGACCTTCCCTCAAAATCCCGGGGGAAGGGAGTCAAGGAAGCCCTAATCTCGGGCCCCAGCTCTAGAAAGCACATTATGGTTCTGCCTGAGCCACTTTCCTTTGAAAGCTGGGAGTTTGAAGGGGTTATTTTTTATTTGCTCATTTTTAATGGGAGTGAGGGAGAAGGTCTGGCTTTGCCTCTCCTCACTCCTAATCTCTCTGGTGAGTTTCCCTGGAGGATCCGAGGATGCTGCAGTTAGAGAGGGCCGTCGCTGGGATGCAGCTGACTTGAGTAACCCGTTAATCTTGTAGATCCGCAAATTTGAAAGGGACTTTTCTTCCCTTTGTTGGTTTCCTTTAATCCATTTACCACTCTCCAGGAGGTGACAGATACCTATATTTCCTGTTATTCAGCTCCGGGTCTCAGGTTCTGCCATTTGGTTGGGGGTGGAGAGGGGGAGGAGACTGAAAAATCGTCCTGCTTTCCTCTCCTTTATTTTTTTTTTCTTTCTCTCTCCCTCCTAGATTTGGGAGGAAGGCCGAGTACTTGCTTCACTTCCCGAGTGGGAGGCTCGGTTCTATCTTTATTGTCTCTTCCCCAGCAAGTCTTCGGGAAAGTGTCTGTGTGTGTGAAGGGGGGGAGAGTTTCATAACTCCAATAATTATACCCCATAAATGGGAGACTACGTGGTGTTTTTGGCTGTTGGTCAAGGATCTTAGGAAACTCCGAGGTATCTTCCTTCCTCCGCCTTCTCTATTCTTCCCTCTCCCCACAAAGCCCCAGGCAATTGAGAGAGGTACTGGGTTGATTGTTGGGAAAAAGTAATCTTTTTTTTAGAGGTTGATTATTAAGCCAGTAGAAGTGGAAATGTCTTCCTATTCGAAAGATGGTAGAGTTGTCTATGAAAATTTTTTTCTCCTTTTTCTTCTTGGTGTTGTGTATTAATCTGATAGCAGACGGCCCACACTTCCTTTTCTCCTCTCCCTCCGTCTATTACCTGAAAGTTTTAAACGTGAACTAAAACCAACCCTTTCCCTCTTTCCTTCATCTTTCTCATTGCCTAGGCTGCTTACCAAAAAAAGTAATAGAAATACTGAAACAACCTTTAACTTTGCTTTCACTAGACGACTACGCCGACCACCTTTGATTTAAAAACTTCAGAAGTTATTTGGCATTATTTATCTGTTTTCATACTTATTCAATGAAATATACAATCAAAATGGAAAACTCTAAACATTTGGCAGTTCTTCAGGATTGTTGAGTTCGGCCGGGTAACTTTTCTTTCCCCTGTGTCTGTGGAGAAAGTCATCTGAAGCTTGGGACACTGTTACCTGTAGTTGTCTTTTTACGTGTAATATCTGAACGATGTTTTTGCAGTGTGGAGTTTGGCAACATTGGCTTGTGGCAGAACTTCTTAATTGATTTGCAAAGGCTGAGACTAACAAGAGCAGGCACCAGCTTCTCGTTTTGTTGGGTTTCATGGTTGAGCCTTTTGTTTGTATTGCAGAGGTTGGAGGGAAGGTTCATCTAGAGACCTAAACTGAGATTTAGCAAGAATGATAAAACTGCAAACAAGTAATTTTAAATGCTACAGTAATTTCCAGTAAAATGAAAGCATCTATTTGTGGAGAATAAACAAGATTCCTGTACTTAAAAAAGATAACATTTATACAAGTTGTGTTCATAATGGGTAACCATTATGCTGTGGAATAATGGTAAAATAACTGGCAAAAATAAAGATTTTTAAACACAGTTTCTTTTTCACTTCTTTTTCATCCTGGACTGATGTTTGCTATCAACTTCCGAACATACGATATTGTAAGTAGTTACACATATTAAACAAAATAAGTCAAATGAATAGATGAAGATTGGATGATTTTCTTTAATGAAAAAATATTTAGTCAGTTATTAGTATTTTATAACTAGAATGCCCTGTATTATATGTTAAACATTAAAAAACAATACGAAAAAAGGAGGTAATGTTCAATATTCTAAAATTCTTATTCTATAGCTCACTCATTAGTAGGAAACTCCTTCCTTTTCCGAGAATAATAGCTACTGCATGGCCGTCAAATCATCTAGATGAAATTGTCCCTAGACCATGCTATATTCTAATTAAACTTCAGAAAAAAAGATTTAAGGGCAGATAGTCATGTAGTTTCTCATATAGAAATCATAACAGCATACTCATTACATATTATTTTTCAATTAAGTCAAAGAAATTCACTGATTTTTAAAAATTCTATGCCCTCCTATTTTCCATAATGCATTGCCTAATCTGGGGACCTTTTTTTTTTTAAATCTTTAATGTGGTAACTAGTGACAGTAAAAAGAAAGTACCATCAACGATGAAATGGTCACTTGTTAAAAATGGCATAGTAATGAGTATTCATTTCCCTCAGGTTAACTGATTCCTCCCCCCCCCATTTTATTCATAGTCACAAGGATGAACTATACTCATAGCTCACAAAAGAGCTATAGTCATTTATAGAGCTGCTGTGGAGTATTCTTAAATGTGAAGAATAAAATATAATGCTTACATAAGGGGTATAAGAGTCATCAAAATCTGGAAACTTACTTAACATTGTTAAATACTATAAAGACTTGTAATTGTTTATATAGCTCTGGGGCTTCACAAAAAATGCTTGTTTTAAAATTTTATTGATTGAATTTGTAGTGCAAAAATTATACAGGAAAAATTCAAATGGAAATCCTGCTTACGGTCCAACGTTTCTACTTCAAAAAAACACCCCTGCCAATGGTTTATAGAAACATGTTTTGGCACAAATTGGGTCTTTGTGGCTGCCTTGAGATGTGGTAACTGATTTTTGTACACATTTGAATATCTGAAATGGTGAAATTTAATTTTCACTGTCATGATTTTTCTAAGATAAGGTTTATTTTCCAAGGTACATTTGTAATATGTTAAGGAGTTGCATATTTATAGTGAATTCGTTGTCTGCTGCTTAGTCTACAATTTTGCTAAGTGAAATTTCAGTCAGCTTTTTGTGTGTTCAGCAGTGTCTTAACTTTATTAATTTAAAAAATGCTATTATTTAACTTCTCTTTTCCTATTGTATATTGTACAGAAATGCAAATTGGGGGTTAAACCCTAAGTTATTCCTGTTTGGTTCACTGTAGGCTTTTAAAATTCATTTCACCCCAGGCCAGGATGTTAATGGCATT